CAACGTTCTTCGATTTATCGGCGTCCTATACAAGGATAAGAAACTGCATTTGGTTACCGAATATATAGCGGGTGGCACGTTAAGAGCCCTGCTTCACGACACGAACGAACCACTACCGTGGGAACAGCGTACATCCTTCGCGAAAGACATCGCTGCCGGTATGGCTTACTTGCATTCCATGAACATCATTCATCGCGACTTGAATTCACACAATTGTCTCGTGCGCGAGGATAAGACTGTAGTCGTCGCCGATTTTGGTCTGGCGAGGATCATTCAGAACGGCAGTTCACCGGATAACCGCAAGTACAATCGACATTCCGATGGAGAGGTAAAGGCTTCGAAGAAAGAGCGGAAGAAACGATACACGGTTGTTGGGAATCCCTACTGGATGGCGCCCGAAATGATGAAAGGTAACAAGTACGACGAGAAAGTGGATATATTCAGCTTCGGCATCGTCGTCTGCGAGATAATAGGCCGAGTTCAGGCGGATCCGGATTATTTACCCAGATCCTCGGATTTCGGTTTGAATCAAAACGTTTTCAAGGAGAAATTTTGCTCCAATTGCCCAGAGACTTTCTACATGATCGCGTTTCTGTGCTGCGATCTAAATCCCGACAAAAGGCCACCATTCGAAGTCATGGAGGTCTGGCTGGAAGGACTGGCGATGCATCTGTCAGTAGGCGCCGAGTTGCCAGCGGATCTGGATTTCGATATCAGAAATTACAAAGGACCGAGTCCGAGCAGTAGCGAATCGACGACTCCAGAAACTCTGGCGCCGCAATTGAAACCCATCAAGGAGGGCCAAATACATCAAGAAAAGAAACGGTCCAGCGGATGCGATGACAGCACGCTGGAACGCGAGATAGACCCTATACCAAGTAACACACTTTATGTTCCTGAAGTCATGAGTCCGCGAAACAGATACACAAGACAGAACAGTAAGAACAACGATAGCACGGGCAACGCAGGGCGTTACTCGAGACAAAATTCCAAATCGAAAGAATTCGTATCCGACAAGGAGAAGCCTGACATCATAATCTCACCCGATTCCAGCGGTTTTAGCGGACGGTATTTGAGGAATAATAACGTCAAATTGAAAGATACTGCCCCCGACATTCCAAATACCTATATTTACTCGAAGCAGGAAACGTATCCCAGGCAGATCGACGCTAGCGAACATAACTTGACTCGAGCACCTACCATAGAAAAGATAAAGTACGTGGGAAGCGCGAGTCCATGCACGGTTTCCGACACTCCGGAGTATAAAATCGACAGTAAAAGCTCGTATAAAGTCAACTTGAAACATAAATCGGCGGAAAAATCCAACGATACGAGCAGTCATAAGACGAAGTCGGAGAGCAAATTTAAGATACCAGATGCTGCAAACTCTGTCAGCTCGTATCTGAGACAAATCGGTAAATCTATCGGCACTGTGGAGAAGGAAAATAAAGCGATCAATAATCGAAACGGCCTGAATTGCGGTGATAATGATTCGAAGAAAGTAACCGGCGAGGGCGCAAAGTCATCTACTGGATCATATCTGCGAAGAACAAAGATATCACCGACCAAGGAAACATCGAAGAATGCATTTTCCAGCAAAGAGACTGCAAAAGACAAAATTGATGGCGTTTCGCCGTTGCAAAAATCCGTGGCTTCGAAAGTCCCACCGAACAAAGAGAAAGTCGTGGAAACCGAGAAAGGTAAAATATCCAGACAGGAGAGCAATGTGTCCGACGTCGATAGCATCTTATCCAGACAGGGAAGCCTCACAGTGTTAGACTGTACGTCGAAATATAAGGATTACTCGCCGTTCAATAACTTCACGAAGGATGATTTTCGCGAGGATAATTCATTCAGAAAACAGAATTCCGGCCTGTATCATACAGACAGTCTTTATTCCAACTGCAGCATCTCGAAGCGGGACGATTTTATCATACCTAACAAACAAAGTGCGAGTAACGATCGCTCTATCGAAGCCAAATCGACGCGCGATGATTCCAAAAATCCGATGATGACCACATCTATTTATAGTAGCGATTTAAAGGCGACGCCAAATTGTTTATCGGACTACACCGGTTGCTATAAAAATGTCGACGTCTGCAGACAGGACAGCTTCGGATCCGACAGCGCACTCGGCACTATGAAGAGCGATTTCTTCGCGGATGTTGATTTCGCGCAGATGAGAGACGACCGGCATACACCGGAGTTGTGTCACACCCCTGAAAGGTGCTGCACACCTAATCGTACAACGTCGCCGCCGATAGAGACCACCGCTTTGTAAATTAAAACGCTCTAAAAAAACGGATAACAGCTTTACGGAACGGCAAGATAACGCGCGTAATCCCCGGCGATGGATGAATCTCATTTGCTACTAATTTGATCTCTTTATTCATAATGTAAGGTCCGAACATGTAACGTGCTTAGTTTGCAGTATTAACTTTTTAGCCAGAGTTTACTTCGTCCAGTATTTTTTTAGTGTATTGAGCGAGGAAAGATTGAATTTGTATGTTGTTTTTAATATGATGCGACATTTTGATCACATTTTTTTTGGACAAATTTTTTTAAAGAAAAGTATTATCTTTGTTATTAAAACTGAATTTAAAATATGGAAGAGTTAACATGTGCAAAACGCAAAATTTCGGGTTGGAAATATTCCCGTTAATAAATCAAACTGTTATCTTACTGAAGAAAGTAATGGTAACGCGATACTCAGTATTAATGAATTTTGTTTGCTGTCAGTTTACACGAATTTCTAGATGTAATCACATCAGTTATAACTTAGCCGTAAGGATTTTATTACATTCCTCTACGAGATCTTGCCACGCGATTTTTAGAAGTTCTAGCGATAAAACGCTACTCCGAAAGCATTCCATCCAAAGTACTACTTTAAAATTTGAAATTTTGATAAGTATGATATTACTAGCGTGTGCTCGAATAAGCGGTATTGTGAATACTCTTGCAGACTATAATCTACAATTACATAATCACAGAATCAAAAATCATCAAAAGCCGAAGTACGAAGTTGGTGCAATTACGTTTCCTCGGAAACTACACGTTCACGTACGTTTCCCTTAAACTATGAAAACATCAAGTAGACTCAGTTCTTGTAGAATACGATGTAAAAATGATACTATCTGTTTCCAGAGATACAGATGTACATCACAGTGTAAAATATTATATACGTTTGTATATGTACAGATTATTTACATAAATGTATGTATACATACGTGCATATAAATATATACTTATACATGACGTTTATATCTTCGTTACATCTCGATAACTATTCATAATATATTTTGATAAAATAAGATTATGTATATTAAAAATATGATTAATTTATGTCTTTTTTTATTGACATCTTAGACTCATTTAACGAGGATATAAACGATGATAAAGTAGTATTGTGTGTATAAAGAAAGAACAAATAATTTGTATATAATTTTGTATATATCCAAATATTTGTAATTGTCAAAAACACACTGATCGAAATATTTGAGTCACGTTTAGTTTTATACTTCTGATGTAAGTATACAACTAATTTGCCTTTCTGTATTCTATCCGCATGTCATATTTCGTTTCAGATGAAGTCATACGTTTATGCTTTCATAGATGCAAATCCCAACAATAATTTTAATACTCATAACTCTATCACATTTTTACCTCACCAATCAAGATTATTTCATATTTGATTGTAATGCATGAAATTATGTGAGTAATGCGATCATTTTACTTTATTTATCACGAAATAAATTTTTTTGAATGCACCTATATGTTAGTTAATATATTGTCTTAAATAAACGTTTATTAGTTATGATGAATATTCTCAAATTATTTGCAGATAACACATTTTGTGTGTAGTTTTGTATGTGGTAGTTTTTATCCTAAAATATTAGATAAACTAAAAGAGAGTTCAATCAAACAATCCTCGATTTTTTTAAACTTTTGTGCATATGAAATATAAAGAAAATATTCTCATTAAATGTTATTTAATGATGTCGCAAGCGCTATATTGTGTAGAACAAATTTCAAAATATCACTAAACATATGTCCAGTCATAGACACGGATATTATGTGCAATAATTGTATGGCTTGCTATATGTATATGATAGAACTAGCTTGAAGGATTGTTTATACGGCTTACTGTTAGTTAACGAGAGCAAAATAATTAGTAAATTAGTTAAGGTAGACAACTTCGTGAAAGACCACTGCGACGTGTTATGAAAAGAGATTTGCATTCTCACCAGCAACGTATTGCATTAAATACGACTATCCGATTTCAATTCTCCAATGTGAAGATTACATTTAATGTAAATACAAAAAGAGAAATAAATAGAACAAGATAGATATTTAACACTAAGCATGCCGTGCGAATGCAAACAAAGAAGACAATTGGGCATCAGATAAATCAAACACGAAGAATATATAATATTATATTGGACTGAAATTGTATGCATAATCAATTGTCACGAAAATCGCTTAAATTTTTAAATATTGCGAAAGCGACGAGAAAACGAATTAATTGTAATATGTCGCGAATGACAGTATTAATATTACTCGCTAAATATTGTTGCTTAGTAGTAACATACGCGTTTGCTATCGTAACTCTTTAACATATAGCGGGCACAAAGATCATGTTAAGATCTGTAAAGAGATATCTGGAACGAGTAGTTATTTTTATAGCCCCTGTAAATTTTCACGTCTTTTTGATAGCCGACACGACTATAGATTAATATACGGGATATCCGACCATTAGCGCATTAATTCGTTAACGAGTAAACCTTATTAACAAATTAATGCACGAGTAATGGTGAGATACTTTCAATTATTAATATTTTTATTCTTCGCTCTATAAAATGATTGATTTGACTAATCTGAGATATAGTTTTGAGTAGATTTTTATAGACACAGAAAAAACTCTAATATCTGATGCTATAATTTTTTAAAAAGAACAATATTCTTGTAATCTCTTAACCATCTTTGTCGGCCTATTTTTAGAATCCTGTAGTAAATTTTTGACACAACTTTTCTCTTTGTAACTAAATTACGAATTATTTTTTATATGAAAGTGGATTCAATGTTGTACCGCAAAATATTTATCACAGTTGCGGCCTTTCGCAATTGTGATTCAATCTAATCCAATTAAAATATTATAATATATTTACCTGATTAATATCAACGCTTTTGTAAAAAGGCAATTGCAAAATTTGCGCAAAACAAAAGTTGTCCAGATTTGATTGATGGCAAAAAAAGGACGGCCTTGATGATTTCCAGAGGCATTCATTGATGCATTCAAGCTTGAAATCTGAATCAAATTCCTATAAACAAGAGCAATAATTGCGTTATTAACAATGTATGAGATTGTATACGTTTCACGTTGTTTAACGTATAATTTAGCGAGCAAAATCGAAATTCTGAAAAGTGAATTAATTGTATCTGTTGTTGTGATGATATATTGATTGCAAATTGATCTCGATAACGATTATTTTTAGCATATCGGTGATCTACTTGCGAGCGAAGAAAAAAACGAGTACGAAAAATGTTTTTATACTATATCTTTAGTATATTCGTTACCTGTAAAAAATCTGCGAATAAGTTTAGCAAAGTTTTATGCGAAACAAATGTTTTATTTAACATTCCAATAACTTAGCGAAAAAAATACAAAATAAACCGTTAATAGTATATGATGGTTTGATTCTTTTCATATTTATCATTTAGATTCTTTTTAATATGTATATTCCTTGCTACAACTATAACAAACTTCAAATAAAAAGGTTAATTTTTTTAAAACGCAATTTTTCATGTTTAAAAAACATTTACATAATTCATTTATAGAAAAATATATGCAACATATATAGAAACATACAATATTCCGATTAGACGATAGAATATATCTTTTTTCTTATTATTTACATTAATTAATTAAAAGTGATAGATGCGAACATAACCTGCGGTCATGAAATACGGTCATGAATACGCGAGTAGTGTACATTTTTGAAAATTTATAACTTTTATTACCAGTTATTCCACGATAAATAGTGATGCATCCAGCAAGCAGCCTGAATTCAATAAAAATTTTGAAGTTTGCAGTTATCTATTTCTTATGTCGAAAATAAATTTCTTCGGATATACCGCGACATCGTTGATCGTTTATTGAAGTGATAAAGTGCAACAAAGGCTGCGTTTCAATATTCACTGCCAATACTGACAATCTATAGTTCATGTTACGTATTCTATAGGTTTTCAGCACTGCCAGTGCATACTTCGTTGAAAAGTTAAATAAAAAAGAAAATGCTCTGACGGAAGAACATTCCTTATTCGAAAGAATTCCTTTGTGTATGCGGTATCTTTGGCAAGTAAAGAAATTGTTTTAACTACAAAACTCGATATGACCAACTATACGCGCACTACTTTTTGTTTATAATCTAATATTATGATTTATTAAATATTAAAAATTGGCGGTAATGTGTATAAAATTACAAATTTATACATGATTTTACATAGAAGTCAAAACAGCAACTAACAACATGTATTTTACAATACAATTAAAACTTTTTTATTTAACTATTAAGCTTTCTAATGATTAAATTGTTAAAAATAAATTAGATTTATAATTTGTTCAACAAAATTAATAAATTAATTTTATTAATATCAAATTTTAATCTCACACATGTTCTAGAAAGCTGTACCGTTAATGAAGCAGCCAACTTCATTTTAAATGTACTCGTTGTGTCGCGAAAAGGTGCCTAAACTCGATCCCGAATGAAATACGGCTTTGTGGAGAAAAGTGAGATTCCTTCGAAAAGAAAATGCATATCTGGCATGGAAATGCTTGTACACGCTTCTGTACATGAAGGGAACGCGAGGCGCGGTGCGGCGTGCGAATAATTTGTCGTCGACGGCGGCGATGGCGGGATGAGGAGAATCACGACGGGAGAGAAACATGGCGGCAGCGGCGGCGGCGGCTGCGGCAATAAGAAGGTAAGGAAAAACCCGTGTCGGGTTCGAGCGCGGAAATTTATGAGTCGCGACGTGTCGACGGAAACCTTAAATTTTAACGTTCCTGTGTCGCGAGAGCGCCCGCGCTCTCTCGCAGTCGGGGTCTCGCCCTCCGCGCGCCCGGTTTAAGGATCTAGAAAAGGGGGGGATTATACGATCCGGAGTGCGCTGTGCCGCGCCAACCGCGAGGGTGGACGAAAAAGAAAGAGGGAGAGAGGAGAGGATGGCCGAACTGGCGGCGGCGGGTTATATCGCGGTGCATTTCGCGCGCGCAGAGCATCCGAATAAAATGATAATAAATTGCGCGTCGCGGAACCCACTGACGCGACCGCGATTTCGTCGTTCTCTCTCTTTCATATTGCGCGTTTTGAAACGTACGTTGAGTGATCATTATATCGACAGATTATTGTATCGATAATGGTGTACCGACAGTGAGAATGATTTTGGTAATCGAAGTTGGCGTTAGATGTCGCAAAGTCCCTTATAAAATGAGATTTACAATTCTTGTATATAAAGTGTCATAAAATCGATATCAAATAATTTAATTTATAAATACGGGATTAAAATTACGATTGACAAAAGTACATGTCTTCTATTTATGTAAATATTATATAAATATTATGTATGAGATACTTATAAAAAAAAAAGAACGTAGACGATGACACTAACGTAAACGTATGACGAGACCACTGGGTATACAGCATTTTCGTTGAGATCGATCGTTGAGGAAATTTTCTGAGATGGTCGCATCGCCGATGCTTATCTAGAACTTTTGGGGTTTGTCGGAGGTACGTTATAGTGTAATAAAGTTTAAGTAATTTCGCCGCCGGGTTGAGCTTGCCCGCGCCGTAGCACAGTAAAACGCTGGCGTTATAAAAGATTAGAGACCGTAATGTACAAAATGCATTTTAGGAAATAGGAAGAAACGTAGAATTTTAGAAAAAATTGATAATACTAAATTCCAATAACATAAATATAATTATCTTTTCTAAATATTTTTGATAGTTTCTGAAAAATTAGTTTTAATTAAATTTTTGAAGTTAAAACGTTTATATTTATTTGATGTTAGCCTTTTTATGTAAATTATCAATATAATTTTTAAATGTCTCTTTCTCTATGCTTAATAATTTCTAAATATATATACATTTATGTAATTTTTTTTTTTTTAAATTCATCAAAGATTGAAATTTGATTTTTTCCGTTAGGTGTCTTGTTTGCGATTGATTCTGATTAAAGCAATACTCGTTTAAATACAAAATATACTGTGGAGAGGAAAAGAATATAAAAAAGAGAGGTAGAGGAAAAAAGGGGGAAATGTAGATTCTCTCTCTTTCTTGCTCTTCGTAAATCTTCCATGCGTGTAACTCATCTGACGAGGAAGCCGCAGTGCTCTCGTTGCGAACGGAGTTGTTTATGCTTTCCTGTGCAGCGCTTTCTGAAATATGCAAATCGCGCGAATTCGCATAATGGCGTTATCGCGGTGGGATGCCGGCGACGACGACGACGACGACGACGGCGGCGACGGTGAGATAGCAGAGTTCACCTCGCGGCTCTTTTGCTGACTTCAAACGACGCGTCTTACCCGTTCGTTCGTTTGAGGGAAGAATCAACATTGCGTTTCTCATAGCTAGAGAAATGAACGATCTGCGATTCCCGGCGTGAAACAGAGCCGTCTCGCTTTGCGTTAACATGTTAAATGCCGTGATAGCGTGCGGCACTGATACTGTCTCATTAACGTTAATATGCAAGATTCTATCATATCTTAGGTTGTCGTATATATTATTAATAGAAAGGCAATTAAATGAACTAATGAGTATCTACGTGATCCAAAAATATATTTATTTATCGTATCATGCAAATTTAAATTAAACTTTCAAAGATTAATTCGGGATTAATGTGGTATTTCAATATTTTATTCTATGGTTACGTCAACATTAATAAATATTGAAAATACGTGATTTTTATTATTACTGTCACATTTATGGTTAGAGATTAAACAAGTCACACGTGTTTTTCTCAACTTTTTTTCTCAATATCTCACAGCCGGCTTATCAGTATACGGGTGAAACGCTTCCGCGGCATTTCACGGCGCGATAAAGCGAGGCGCGGGAGTACGCGCGCGGAACGGGCGGCCTTACATATTATAATTGATACGTTACAAGCGCTCCTACACGCCGGATAAGTTTATCTCCAACGCGCATCGACGAAACCGGTTAGATAACGAGCCGCGCGGGCGCGCGCTACATCATATAATAAGGTTTAATTATTCGGATAATGAGGGCCGCACGTCCATACTCGTCTAATGACAAATAGCCGCCCCGCACCGTTGCGTTGGTGTGGTACCGGTGCAACGCGTACGGCGAAAACGACAAACAGCGCCGATTTCACGTCCCGTCGCGCTACCGTGCACGCCTCCTTTCGCCTCTATTACGTAAAGGCTCGCGATCGATCCGCGCTCTATCCTATATTAAAGATAGAGAAGCTAGAATAGGCACTTATGTCAGTTTCTCTTACCTAAGTAAAGAAAATAAATTGTAGGAAAAACAAATAATCGAGTGTTGTAATAACAAAACAATTCTGGAATGTACATTGTTCATATAAGCATTATTCATATTGTTTCATGAAATTTACGAATTGTAGCAATTTGAGCAATGTTAATAAGTTTTTCAATTTATAAAGTCTATAATTTATCAAAATTTTACACAAAAATATATTTATAATTTTCAGTAATAGAGAAAACGTTTGAAGAATCGGAATACTTATAAAATACATATCACGCTGTTTTGATTTTTAAAATGCATTTTGTAATACATGGTACATAAAATAGAGTTCTATCTCGAGTTCTATCGCGAATTATAAATCTTCTACAGTAGGCTTTGGAAGAAAAATGAATGTCATTGATTTAGGCGACGATTATTCCGGCTCGCGAATTTCTCTCCTAATATATTTCTTTTTACAAATTGGCGAACAGACGAATAGCGTGGTACGGTTTATTTAGTTCACTCTCCATTTTAATAAACTCGTCACGCCCGACGATCGCCTGAACTCCCGTCTCCCTGGAGCTTTCCAAATTTGAATTCTCGAGATCGTAAAGTACCGGTGTAACTGCCACCACGTGGAGCCGGGCGCAATCGATGCGAGAGATCTCGAAGGTATCTTCGATGCGGCGTCGAATTCCAACAAGATTTTAAAAGAAAGGAGACTCTCTCTCTCTCTTTCTTTCTCTCAGGCGAGAGACAAAAAGGATGATGTACGTTCCGATCGTTCCGAGGGTGAGAGAGGGAGGGGCGCGTTGTATCCACGTTTTCGATGATATTTACGTGTGTCCGTACTACGGTCGAACGGCTGTCGAACAGCGGGTTTTACAGCGCGGGGACAGCATATATGTAGAATCGGGGACGTATCATCGGACCCGGGGGCGACTGCTCGCTTACACGCAAGTAGATGGATGAAGGTGGCCCCTAGGAGAAGGGAGGAGGTGGCGGTTGATGGGTGTAAACTCGAGATAGCATCTCCAACTGTCCTCCGTCGACTGGATCTACCGACTCCTACATCTCTCCGCTCGACTAGACCTGTCGTCTTTACCCGGTTTTTAATTATCCCCGGGGTTATACCCTCCACACACAAAGACAAAGGTGCGCGTCACGAGGCGTGGGCCAGGTAAGAAGCGCTGCCGCTCCTCGGAAGGAAAGACGATGGGTGACGTTTTGACGCGTCTCTTATGACGAGATTTTAGAGAGGTAACCCCCGTTCGGTGATGTATCGTTTTCGGCCACGACCTTGCCCATCCCGTCCCGTCTCGTCGCCAGGATTCATCGAGAATCTTTTTTTGCCGCCGGATATTGTATCTTGAGCTTCGAGCGCGATAATACCGTTTGGTAGAATCCCAAAACTTTAGAGAAATATTACCTTCAGCAAATATATAATTGACATAAAAAATAAGATAACCTTCTTTTGCTTTTTATTTGGCGTATAAATTTTTGCTGAGTTTCGTAAAAGCGCTTTTAAAGAGGTAGATAAGCTCCGTTAAAATGTGAAGACTTCATTTACGAGATTTTTTAAAGGCGGCATGATTATTACTTTATTATCTCCCGTTTTTTTTTTTTATCCGGAAATCGCGATCGGTGTACAATTTGGATTTTGCGGGTCGACTTCGTCGCTCGTTCGGGTCGGAATGAAAGAGCCGGAGAACGGAAGTGACGAATAGCCGGGGTAGGCCTTTTGAGCGGTTGATCTTCAAGACCGGGAGAGGAATATAGGAAAGGTACAAAGCGCCGCTATCCGCACCATCAGTGTCCGATACTAGGCTCAGGTGACACGCTTTCCGAAAAGGTACCCACGTACCCTTATTAAGGTGGAGACAAGATCGGGCCCTCGACAGTGCCCCGCCGATGACAGCAAATATTTACAACGTCATGCTACCTAGACTGGGCGTTCTCTCGTGCGTGCTCGGCCGTTTTGCCGGCGCCGAAGGTTTCTCCTCCTCGAAATGAAGCGTGTTTTTAGCGTTACGATGTTATGCTTTTTCCCATCCCGATCGAATTAATCTCGGTTAAACCCGAAGGTAATTATGTCGACGCCTAGAAATTGCTTGTCTCGTGCTTCCGACAAAAATACATTGAAATAGCATGAATTTTTTTAATTTATGTAATTCGGATGTACTTGAAAATTATTGTATATGCTCGAAAATTTTTAAGTTTATCCAAAAAGATAATGATATTAGAGTTTGATTTTATAATTGTAGACATTTATTACGTCAATTTGTTTTTTCAAAAATAGATACCGATTGATTATGGGTCGCCATGTATTCTATATTTTGATACTCTTGTTACCACGAAATTCATATAATAATTAATGAATTGCGGGCTGCTCTCTGTTAACATATTAATTTACAATCAACAAGTTAATAGTTACGCGATTAAATATGCAATAAATTGAACCAATCGAACCGTATCCTGTTTTCGAACGTTTAGTCGTACACATCGATAAACAAAATATAACCACGATGTTTTAATAATATATCTCAAATTACATAACGCAATGTTATACGTGAATAACAATATTAATTATTTTTCTCCTTAAATTCATAAGTTTGGTTTCGCTTAGTCACGTGCAATTTCTATATAAGAAAATACAAGGCATTTTTAAGCATTAGTATACATATAATTTATATAATTATTGTGTTGTCTCGGATATCATTGTAATGTAAATGTATTTGTATTTTACAGATAATTTTTGTGCGCGTAATCGGTGCTGCGAAATATATTCGTTCCGTCGTAATATAACAAAATTCGCGTCGGGAGTGTCGTTTGAAGTGTCGCGTCGGGAGTGTCGTTTAAAGTGTCGCGTCGGGAGCGTCGTTTAAAGTGTCGCGCGATTTTCGCATTCGGATACGCGCGCGAGCAATGCGTGCGCCGCGTGTGAATATCTCGAGGAATTGTTGAGAGGAGGAGACAGTCTATCGAGCGACAGCAAGTTAACAACGGTACGGTAAGTAATTTATCATAAAAATACATTTGTAGTGTTAGTGAAAGGGGCTTGCTTAATGTGTATCTGGAGCTATGTAATAATTATCGTTTTATATTAATGTAAGTATACACATAATGATACATATAGGCAATGGTAAAAATACCGTGAAAATTTTGTGTATTTTTATCCTTTCAATATTGTGATGCCTGCAAAAAGAACATTCTGTAGTCCAATCGAAGCGTTAACTTTTCTCATCTTCCGTAAATTAAAATTTCCACCGCGCGAGCACGCGCTCGAGGCGAAAATCCAAGGTATTCCGCTGTCAATCGTTGTGGGGAGAATTTTCGGTGATACCGAGCACAGCAAAGGAGCCCGATCCTGGCCCCCCGCTGTGGTATCGGTTACGCTTAAACCGCGTTTAAGGCCCTCGAGACGCAGCTTTTCGTGCGAGCCGCTGGCGAGCACCGCTTGGAAGAGGACTTACGAGAGGGCCGGCTCTCTCGAAGGGCTCCGAGACGGTGGCGCCAAGGAGATCCGTATCTTGGCGCGAGACCTCGAGAAAGGGCTCCTTCCTCGGCTCTTCCCCACCATCGGCGCGTCGTGGGCCTCGTCAAAGATAATATCTGATTCCGAATCGTTCGTTCGTTCGTTCGCTCGCTCGCTCGCTCACTCGTTCATTCGTGCAGGCTTCCATGTACTCAAGACTCGTTTTCTCGTGCCCGGTACGAATGTCATCGTGTTCGCTTCTTACGAGCAGAATCGGGCCTCTCTCTTTCTCTCTCTTTTTCTCTTGGAACCCCTTCTTTTCGTGCGCGCCGAATTAACGATCGGAAGAGCACCGGCGCACACACGGTCGACGGCAGTACGGAACGATCGAGATTAATTGCGAGTCGCGACGTGGAAGAGAGGAGGAGCGAGTCTTTCCGTGCGAGGCTTTGAGAATCGACGCCCGCGATTCGTATTCCGCGAGTTCCGCTTCGCGGATTGACGTGTCTTATAATGACGCATAATCAAAAGCATCTCTTCTGTGACGCGGCACAATGAGCTTATTAATCGAAGTATTATGCGGCGATGCGATTAAGCGCTTGAGTCATTCGAATATTATCATCTAAATGGCCATAATTAGCAACGATATCGTGGATCTTGTATACTTTGCTCTTTCACGATCCGAGATGTTTTGGTGTGTAATTTTCTTTTTCTGCGAAGAAATACAAAAAACAGATGTCATGATTATCGGACGGCGAATTAAAGAGCGCACTCAGGTAGCAAAAATTGATTGATAAATGAAAGGATAACTAACGATCAGTAAACAATGTTGTTTTACCTTTAGATGCGCTTAATATAAGCAGGCAGCGCTTCAACGTACAGGATGTGCGAGAACTATCAGATCCCTCCGACACCGTGAATATTGCCCAGACGACAAAGCAAGGTCGTGTCAATTGATCGAGGGAGATTAATTATAAAAATTACATAGCAATGGCAAATTGCTGGATGCAAAGTAAAAATAAATTATATTAATCGTGCAGTTATGCACTTGAAAAATAAGGAGAAATTAATACTTCCGGCAATTACCGATACATCATTAATCGTTTTATATCAGTAAAGATCATTTCGATTGCATTGTGATTGGACTGCGAAAACCTTGAGGTCGTCTCTTGCGCGAGAACGAGATAATGATAATCGCGCGCGATGATTAATTAGGAAAATAACATAGCACTCAACATTAATTATGTGTCATAACAAGAGATAGAACATATCGCGTTTTTCGATCTGTTTCCAGTAATCACGGATGTTAAAGTACGCTAAGTTCTCATTAAGACGTCCAACTCTCGACATCTATAATTTTCTCGGTGTATGTCATTTTAAATTCAAAAAAAAAAAATCAAGTTGTGCGATTCGAGATTGTGTGTTCTCGGCAGGCCATATTACCTCTTCGCGTTACCACGCGTGACAAGGCGCGTCATCTTCGTCGCGAGGAAAGTATCGCGGGTCTGACGCGCTTAGAGATGCGCGGTCAACGAAACGCGGTCGGCCAGTCAAAAAATCAAGCATTTGTATTCCGCGGAGATTTTTCAACGGCGGCTGGACAGTTTTCTCATTTCGTTTATGGCCGGTCGTAACATAACTCCGGACCTACTACCACCGACCGTCGTCCACCACCACAATCATTTTGTCCTCGCGCTCGCTCGCGCGCACCACTCTCGCGCGGCAGCCGCTTTGCTCCTCTTCCCGTCTCCTCTCTCTTCGCGGTGGATCACCAACGCGAGACGAGTCCGCGTAGGTGGAACGAGCTCTGGTGTCCGTTCGACGAACGTTTTAAGAGCGGTACGCAAACACGCGATATGCCCTCGGTATTCCTCGTAAATCGCCCGGACAACGACGGGAGGTCTTCGATTGTAAAAGTCCTAACTTCCGCCTGACTTTTCTTCATAGTCGCGTCGACAGTCGCCATTCGTGCATCACGTCGGTTCCAAATATTGCGCGCTCCGCCGTTAAAACCATCTGATCGATAAAACGCGATTTGCGTGACGCGACAATTGTTATAATACCAACTTAAGTATCGCGTAAAATAACTTCTTATATTCCGAGTTCTACTAATTAAAGAATTCCCTTCACTCTCCACTTTTAGAAAATTTGTTATATGCAAATGACAGCGTTAACTCGCGCCGAAGGTCGAGCGAACTTTTATAAGAATCAGATATAACGAGCGGCGCGATCGCGCGCTCCACACACTCGAAAATATTTATTTTTCGAAAATGAAGCAGCCCGGCTCGAGAGCGGGTCCAGTCGGGGACAGGTTCACGCTAAATGGCGGTCAGACCAGGCATGTCGCGCGCCGCGGGGTGTCCCGGTCAAAAGCGCCGACTACGCCTTCCTCGCTCCACGACGTCCTATCACTTCTCTCTCATGTGCACCCTTTATCTCGAGCCCCACCATCGGACGCGCGGATTAATTTTCGGCCGCGTTGTTTATACTCGCGGCGTTTTACGCCATTGAAGAAGGAAAGTAAACTTAATCACGATTAACTGAAAATAAAACCGACTCCGCAAGAGTTATTCCATTAGTTAGCGTCCTCGCATCGCACGGTGATGATACGCGCTTCTGGCTTGATACCACGAAATTTATGTTATTGGCGTGTTTTCGCGCAGGTGCTCGCGAACACGCGTAATTCCGCCAAACTGGAATTAGGAAACAAGGTATCATCGAGTTAGCGATTGAAATCATGCGTAATTCGGGGTGGCGCCGGGACGCACGATTTTTCTAGATGATTTACAAATTAGCTTCCGTTCCTACCGGTCGTGGGGAGAACGCCGGCCGCCGTTCGGAATGATCGGTGCGTTGAGGGTGGAGGTTTCGTTTACCACAAGGTTGCTTCTGCGAAGAAGGGCTCCTATTAGTACTTCTGGCTCGGGCCGGCCTTTTGCCGCCCACCTCCGTGGCGCAGGATAACATATGGTTAGCTGAGATCTCTCGAAACTCCATTAACATAACGCCGATCTCCACCTGCTTCACGAAAAACGCGAGAGGAGAACGGGGCCTGATGGTAGTTGAGTCAATTGCGTGCTCCCTCGAAAACTCTTGTCGTCGAAACGGCTGTCGTTACCGCGTCCCTTTCCTCTACGACACTTTCTTCCTTTCCTCGCCTTCACGATCTCTAACGACGACGATCGATCAGACTCCTCCGTAGAGAAAAAGAAAGGCATTGTATTAAACGCTTCCTCCGCCGGCAGAGACGTTAAAAGAATAAAAAACCTCTCTTCTGACTTTTTCACTTCTGTCACTTTCAAGCGCGATAACTTATCTCAATGCAACGCATTTAATTTCATCATTTTCTTATTAATTTTATAAAAACAAGTATATAATAATAATGATTTTTTTAATTTTAATTTTCCAAACATTTTCAGAAAATACATTACTATCCAAACTGATTAAATCATTCAAATCTCAGATATAGATTGATTTATTAGTTCTTGAATTAAATACTATACAAATTAACAAAAATTTACTTTAAAATATGTGCTAAGATAACGAGATAATATTCTAACGGAACGTACAAACCAGCTGCATTCTAAAATAAACTAGTGCTTGGAAATTTCAGATAGTTGAGCGGTTCTCGGACAGTTCAAATCTTGAAATCGAACATAAAATAATTCTGTTTTCTCATGTTAAAAGTATATTCGAACTAATATTCGAACAATTCGAACTAATTTCAGACTCAAAAATTAAAAAATTATTATATTCAACATAAAATTTATAAAATATATAATAATGTACTTATATAGAAAAAGTTGAGAGATTAATTTTAAAATGTATTTAGAATTATATCTCTCTAAATTTTTGTCAATTAACAAACATTTATTTTATTTAATTGTGAATTCTTTTTTAATAAAAAAAGCATAAAAAATACCAATTTCTATTTTGAAATACTTTATTTTATTTGTCTGCAAAATATCATATTTTAAAAATATGTCTCGTTTTTTTATCTAATATTTTTATTAACAATTTATTAAATAGTGCAAATACTTGGCTAATATTTTAATTATAAGTCTTTCACAATGATTGATTTTGTACGCACAGAATTATACAACAATGTAAAATCCCATGTAACTATTATAAGGATAAACAATTAATATCTCGCAAGTAGCAAATAATAATCCACTCTTAAAAAAGGCATGAAAGATCGATACTCGAATGTATCGAAAGTATTGTTGACGCTTTTCCGTGACGCTGATTGGTTATCGCGATTATTCTGATAGTTTGATAGATTGAGAGCGAAGGTTATTTTGACGGTTATTTAAAATAAAAAAATTTATTAAAATTTTTAGATTTCTTAATTATTAAATTATCATAATAAGTGCGCGCGCGTAGCGCGCGCCTGTATTGTTCTAGTAAATGATAAATTTTTTATGTTGAAGTTGCTCCGCTGAAACGGATGTCCTCTTGTTTTAGTATTGCCGTGCGAATGGTAGCGAGATCATAGTGCGCAATCAACAACACGCGTACACCATGACGTAGTCGCAAAAAATAAAAATAACATCTGAGTTGTGTTAAAGTATTTCGGTTTTAGCTCGCGACGTCGTTTATGTTTGTTGTGATTGAAGGACACACATAGTGTGTATATTGCGCGTTGTTGTCTGCGTACTTTGCTACCAGTCGTACGATACATTCCGGCAGAATGGCATCGAATTTCGGCGGAGCGACTTTAAAGCAAGTAATTTGTCATTTATTATTTGTTACTTATTAGATATATTTAATTTCTGCATTTTGCATCGTTGTATAATACACTCTTGTGACAATTATGACGATAAATTGATTAAATTGTAAAAAGTATGTGTGATAAACAGATAATTATAAAATTTGATAATATTTAATACATATATCGATTGATTTAGCTGATTAGCTGCAAGATATTTTAAATACTAAATTATTTAGTAATTTATTTAATAATTTATTCTCTCTTAGTCTCTTTCGTTCTCTCTTTTTCATATTCCTCTATTTCTCTTAATTTTTTTTATTTTCTCTCATTCTTTTTCATAGTCTCTACTACTTTATTTTAAGTGACTATAAATTATTAAGATTATTATGAAAAATATTAGAGAACACACAGAAGTATCTTCTTGATTAATTACTTATATTCAAAATGTCCGAGATATCTAAATTAGATACTTATTTCTTTTGTTTCATACTGTTCAAATAGTTCGGACATACAAAATGTTTAAAACTTTTGTTTGAGCCTTAAAACAAACGTTTTTACTTGAGCTGCTGGTCACGAAAAGAAGCGAGCGCTCCTCCAAAGAGCATCTCTCTGTTGCTTTTTCTTTCCGTTGCGACATAAATATGCCGGGATTAATACGCAGCGCACAAATCCCGTACTACAGCGTAGTTTATTGTCCGATATGCACGTCTGCGGGCCACCGCGTAATAAAACGAGGAAGAGATCTCGTCCGTTGGGGGATCCGTGCGTGTGCTCGTTTGCTCGCTAGTGAACGTTATCTCGCTATCATTCGACCGGATCGAATACATGACAGACTGTCGGACAATATTGCATTCCTATCCCCCCGTCTATGAATTCGCTAGGAATCATCCTATACTCTTCCCCCCCATACGGCACACCACCACGAGGGGACGGGCACCAATTTTCGCGCCGAAGATTACCGGCGCAGCCGTGACGAATTTCCATGGCGTGATTTCACGTGCCATGGAATTTGGGGAAAACGGCTGGTTTTCGATGACAATAATGGTTCTTCCAATATGTTATTGCGAGGCTTCGGTATTCACGTATTTAAGGATGAATCATGGCAATCGAAGAGACAATGCAGTCACATTTTTCATTTACAAGTGTCGCCGTCAGTTTAATGGAATTTTAAAACTTTTGAAAGAGAGAATAATTTTCTTTTAGAAAAAAAAAATTTTTTTAATTGTATAAATTTTATTAGCTATTTGTAATTTGTCCTATACAACCTAATATATCGTCGCGTTACGCTTCGAGATGTCGGTTTTTCTCCTCGAGGCTGTCATCGCGCGAGCAGACCCTGATTTACCGCCGAACCGCACTCACCCACACGTTGCGTCTGTTCTAATTGCAGGTCCGCGAGCTCGTAAGAAGAATATTCTCCGATCCACACCCCTTGGCCTTCCCACCTGCCGTCATCCCACGCGAAGCTCCTGTGAGATATCAAGCGCGTACCGCGATGCATCACCCGATCAGGTGTAACCGCCCTAAACGTGGACAGCGCTCGCGTAACAAAGACATTTGCCTGCGGAATGATCGAGGTCGCGGGATCATCATCGATGCGGTAAATCATCGGCATCGAAGCGTTGCTGAATGGAGATTCCGATGGCGGAAAAAAGGTAAGTGAAGAACCGCATTTATTATATATAACAATCGTCGATATATAACAATCACGATTAAGCAGAATTTTGCATTGTTTCTATATTGAGAGATTATCAAATTAACGCAATTTTAAATCACTTTGCGGCAATCGCAAGCGCCGAATGTTTATCGAGTTTGTCTTCCGCGTTATCTAAGATAAAAAAAAAGGAACCTCTCATGCGGAACACGCTCTATCCTATCGAGACTTTTTATATATGCAAAGGGATTGTTCCGACTCTGTAATCCGGTAGCCCGAGGGCCGCGAGAGGACTCGCCTCGTCGCGTTCGACCGCGTTGGCGTGTATGTTTGCATGGGGCAAATCTCGGTGCTGACCCGACGATTATGCTGTCAACACTGCTTCTTCGCTCCCTCCCCCTTCTTTTCTCTCTGTCCTTTCTTGTAATCCGTTTCGGCCTCGTGGATGAAGGACGCGTGTATGAGTCAGGGAATAATCCGTGAACCGCCATCGCGCCGCGTGTCCTCCCGGGTCCACTGCTTTCCGTCTCTCGGTACGTTCGATTCATTTGCACGTATGAGACAGATGGTATGTATATGTGTGCGTGCGAGAGATCACGTAGGTAAGCACGGTCCGCTGGGGGCGTGGCGGCTCCCTGGTGGTCCATCACTGGCGTGGGTTTTGAGCCTTCCGAAGGATCCCGGTGCAGGCTCCAGTGGCGATTTTTTCCGTTACTGAGCCTGACGATTAATATACGTGAACATTTTGGGAGAGATCTCTTATCATTTTCATATTCTAAAACTTATAGAAATTCCTAGGACTTATCGAAAATTTAAGAGATGTTATGTGTGTGCTAGATTTGCAAAAGCACTCTTATCGTCAAGGTATTTTTTAAACCTTATTTTTGATATTCTATTCGTTGCGCGAGGTTCTCTAATTTTCGGTCGGGCTCGTCTTACTTGATCCTGCATTTCTCAAGCAACGTCGGATAATCCGGAAAAGGACGAAAGCGGGAGGAAGCGCATCATGCCTCGTGGAAATATATGAAACGCCAGTCTAATAGCCGCCATTACGCCCAATTAGGCAAGCCAGCTCTATTCACGTGGACGAGCGAAATGCGCGTTATTAATACCCCATCGTGATCCGCGGCTGGTAAGTAATCACAGTTCTGGATGGACGCGAAAGGAGATCTCAATCTCCTTCAGAGTATCGCGCGAGGCATGTCTGCTGCGCATGAAACGGTTCCGTTCAGCTTCTGGCGTCGTGACTACGCGAAGTCTGGAATATGGTATACAATTACAGAGAGAGAATCGTGGCTTTCGCTGACATGGAATTGCGCCGGTTAGGCATTCCACAATGTTGCAGCGGATTCATAGGTGGGTGGAACTCTGATTAGGTGTTCGCGCACGAGTATTTTAATTTATTAAAGTACAGCGGTCCACACACACACTTTTATCATTTCTCTTGATGTATTACGTCATTAGTATTAATGTTATCTTATTTAACTGCAACATAAAATTAATGCATATGAAATCAACTAACGTTAAAATCCTGAAAATAATTTTAACTACGATATTAAATTTTAGTTTTTATAATAAAAATCTTTTCTTCGTATTTAGCAGGTAAAAAGTTTAGAATCATAAAATAAATATCAGAATGTAACCGGAAAGTGGCATATATTATAACAATATTGAGTCATTATTTTGCGAAAAAAATTGAACATATTAGGGTACGTAATCTTTTTTTCGGTTTTGAAAATATTAACACGGTGAATAAGAGAGTACGCCAATGAGCAGGTAACAACCGCGTAACGAGGCTGACTCGCGCTCTCGGCCCTCGTTTCTACGTCCTTCGTCCTAGCGCGTTCGCGTAGAGAGACGCCCGGCTTGTCTGGTCACGAACATTGGACCTCACATCGTCACGGAAAAGACGTTCTCCTTGTTTCGTTGGCGTTATTAACCGGTCTGTGACGTTAAACCAGACGGTAATCGTCACCAGATTACCGAGAGGATCGACCGAAAGAATTGCGCTTATCTTCCAAAAGTTTCACTATTACAGTAAACGTTATTGTCGTATTTGCATCGCGCTATTATACTTTTGCATTTTCGCAACGATCGCGTCCTTAGCGTTTGACGAAGATATTCTTAACATATCGCCAGTCTTGTATAGAATGTGAAATTTTCTTAGTCACGATTCTCTCATTCATATTCTTAAATATTCTGTAAATTTCGTTTTATGCGTATCATAAATTTAGTCTGACATAAACGCGTGACTTTTTATGAGAGGAATAAAGATACTATATATTTTTACTTGAAAATTTCGAAAATCTAGCATTAAATATGATTGTCCGATTTTACTGTAATATTAACGTTGAATGCTATTTCGATATTAGACACGCAAAACGCAGTTAGCGTTAATTTTTGCGACAAGCATAGAGGTCTTTGTTATGCGCGCTCTCTTCGCTTTTTATCTCGAGGTAGCGCCTGCGGCGACTCGTTCCGTCGCTTCCGGAGATGCGAGAAGTAGACGTGCGCGTTCATAGAAATTAATTTTCGATCGGTCATCCGGCACGTCGCCCGAAGACAACCGTTTTCGACGGTTTCGACAATTCCGTCGAACGAGCTAATGCCCCGAAGGGGCGTCTCCTTTTCCTTTTTCTCCCTTTTTCCTTTTTTTTCAACGAACATTTCGCTTCCGCGAACGAATCGTCGAGGAACTCATGGTTAAGCGTTTTACGACGATGGGTCACTGCTCGTGGTCGTGGTAACAGTCCGATTATCTCGTTTCCGCGGAATTATCGGGAATGCTACCTTAGAAAACGAGGAGGTGGGCCTCCTCGGTCGAGGGTATCCCATAAAAATTGCCTCGAATTGCCAGTTACCGATTGGCGATCTCTCGCTCCTCGTCCGGAATTCGTCGCTCATGGTGCCTTGATTAGGGATTATTTTCTATTGCATCGCGCTGACGCGTCCCGCGGCTGACGAGGGTGTCATTAGTGTCCTGACGATTGGTTCCCCCCCCCCTCCTCTCCCTCCGTTGGTGGCAGCGGGAATCATTATTATTGACACACACCGCGATATAATGTGTTCCCATTTTTTCGCATGTATGGATAAAATTGAAATTGCTTGGAAGAAGGTCTCATTATTACTTTGTGAAACTACTTAATTATCGTCCGATGCAGAAGAAGGTCTTTACGCTTTCTTAATTACTAACTGCCGCCACCGCGATCGATCGACCGATCAGTCGATAGGCGATCTTGCATCAATTTCCACGCTCCTCGGTATTTCGCAAAGACTGCGTCGACGGTTTTCTGGGTCGGTGGGCCGTGCCTTAGGGTCCAGAAGCCGGCCGGGGCGCGAGACGAGAGGGCTCGGTGCCACGAGAGAAAGACAAAGACCGCGTGCGAGAGGATGTTGTGGTGGGAAGCGGAAGGCGCCGTGTTAATTTCACTTCGAAAAATCGTAAAATGCAAATGAACGATCCGTGGGCCCGGGGCCCGATTGGCAAATTGCGAGAGAAGGCTGCGCTGCGCGCGCGACGGCCGCGCTGGCGCCCAAGGTGGTCGAGTAATTTCGCGAGGCCTCCCTCTTTCCCTGGAGCAAAAAAGAAAAAAAAGAAGTGAGAGAGAGGGTGAGAAGAACAGGCACGAGAGATAAAAAGGGACAGCAGGTAGGAAGAAAAACGAACAGCTAGAGGGGGAGGAAGGAAGGGCGCGCGCTTCACCACCGGGCGTGCAGGCCATTCAGAAGAGGAGTTTGGCTGCGGGACATAAAAATGTGTTGATTATACGTTGCTGGGCATCCTTGGGCTCATGGTGTCGTTAAGGAAAACCAAACGCGAGACAGAGAAAGAGCGAGGCTTATCCGCGAAATTGTTAAATGGCCGACAAGATCGTCACATCCGAGTGTCGTCGTCGCGATGACATGATGTCGGGCGTGTCGTAAACGATAACGATTACTTAGAGTCAAAGTCAAGACAATGTCAAATATAATTTCTTCATTTAACGATAAAAGTCTCGCGTACGATTCGTATTATTCGCAATGTTTCAGCTTATCCGCGCAGTTCTTTAAACATTTTCTTTAACAATAATTGTCCATGAAAAAAATATTATCCCACACTTTGTTAACATTTCGTTCTCGCTAATGATCTAAAAAGATGATAAAATTGTATATGACAAAGCCGTTGATTTTCGCTAAATTAGTTATTGAAAGTCGATAAGCAGTTGTTTTTTTTTGGCGAACTCGATGAGATAATTAGCGCCGTGTTAGAGGAGCCGATGAATTAATAAGTCGCACGAAAGCACCGAGATCGATCTGCGCGCGATGACGAAAGCGATGAATGAAGAGGTCCTGACAAAAGCGCAGCTCGTAAATCGGCCGAAATCGCGCAGATCGGTCGTTAATCGGTCGCGGGCTGCAATAAGACTAATGAATCGCGGCGAAGGCAGCCCGCGGTGGGCCCTTGGGCCCGGATGTGCCCTCCTGCAATACGTCTGTCCGCCTGTCCGTCCATCCGTGCGCGTCTCTGTGTGGGGGGGTGTGCAGGAGATTAAAAATAAATAAAAGGCAATAAGTGCGGGGCCCCGTGCGAAACCCGTCATTACGCGAGGCGGGCCCACCTTGTTAGCCCAGTGGGCGCCCATGACCATATCCAGCCACTCTCATTCAGGATCTCTCTTCTCTCCCGGAGGAGTCCTGGCGCCTGTGCCGTTAAAATTGCCCGAAATTCCCGGAATTCTTACCTCCCGATGTAGTATATGCTCACAACCGCCATTACTGTCGTCACTCCCCCGTGCTTGAGATCCTCTCTCGCCTTGGTGTCTTCCCTCTCGCTTTCACGAAATAACGGCGCGATCGTTAAAACAATGTTTGCGGACTTGAGAAAATTAGGGTCCGCGATTGTCCGTTGATTGACAAAGTTATTTCTGCGGACGATTATGTCAGGACTGCGCGCGAAGTCCGTTTCCGCGAGCGTATACTTGTCATTACGTCTTACGCCTATTATTTGTATATATTTTCGTA